CAAACCCCAATCCACATTGCACGGTTGCTGATCCACCATCCACGATAACGCCATCCTAGGGGCTTGCCTGCGAGGACACTGCGCCGCCATGTGCTCATAAGAACCCAACAAAAATCGGCAAGTTTTCCTCTGCCCCGCATAGTGGACAAATACCTGGGTCCTATAGTTTGTCAGCGTTACATACGGGGGTTTAATTGGCCGCCTCAATGACATCTTCAGGGTGCAGGACCCCTCGGGCAGCCCTTCAAACGGCCCGTCCCTCCACACCCCATATTAGCCGTATGAACAGTTCCATAATCGCTGAAGGCTTCCTGAATGCCATACGACGTTGCCTCAAATGGTACATTACGCACCTTTACCCCATGTGTAATATTTCGAAACATCATGTAGACACACCTCTACTGCTGAATTAACACTCATCCTTTCCTGGAATTCATCCACAATCCTGGAGTAAAACCCGGCTCTTGTAAACTTCACAAAAACCCTTGACATTCCATTTAGGGCCACACCATACAATTCATCGTTCGATATCCCGTAGACGTCTCTAATGATGGCCGATAACAGTACATGCATCGTCGCACTGCTTAACGTTCCTCGTACTAATTCAATACAGACAGTATTCACTCTCCTGTTGATACGATCCGCCATGTTGGTGTCTAAGTCCAGCAGTCACCACCAGGTGGCGTGTAGGGAGACTCAAGAAGCGTCCTCTCTTCCCAGTGGTCGAGAGACGAATGCAGATATATATTTTGTGGGTCTTTAGCTGACACTAACAGAGCACTGGAAAGGCTTTCTCTTTTTTTTTTTTTTTGTCATTCGCGAGTTTGGGTAATTCTGTGTATTGGACTGATTAAACCAGGTGCTGAAAAAGTCTTATTCATCAGCTTGTAATGATTCAGAGACGACCGAAACATCTAAAAATTTCCTCTCCAAGTTCTGGGTTAATGATGTACTCTGTTCATGTTAGTGACGACGTCTCATCATTAGGTCAAGAAAATAGAAGAAAAATACAGATACATTGAACATACAACCTCTACGAGGCCTGGTCATGGACCGGGCGGCGGAGGGGGGGGGGGGGGTGTTGACCCATGGAACACCCTCTAGGTAGACTCCAGGTAACATAAGGCCAACTCTATGGTATGTGGTATGTTTATTCAGGTACAGGTACACATAAATACAGTTACATAAATTACCATACATAGCATATGTGTAGATTACCTAGCATAACTTCCCAAAAATCGTCAGACAAAGTAACTTATTACCACTGGGGAAAGACTTTTTTTTTTGCCGTAGACATTAACAGTCTGAATAATCGAGAAGGAATACGATAAATAAGGAAGGACGAATAATAATGGTTGACAATATTACTTTACCTTTCAGAGAAGAGTATCCAGTAGTGGGAGATGTACGAGGAAAGGGGACTGATGTTTGGGCATGGAAATTTGGTACAAGATAGTACTTCACGTACACCTCTGAGTCCACACCTCATGATGCAAATATGGGACACTTGTAAAGACCATGGTGTCCTCCTGGGTAAAGGAGGTTTCCATGGAAATGTAAGTACGATGGCACTGATATATAGAAATGTTCCAGTTAATAAAACGAATATTGTTTATACGGGAGCTCAATTAAGATTCACCCCCCCCCCCCAAAAAAAAAGGAAAATTGTTAAAGATGCCATTTTTCTTTCTTCACGAAAGCTAGTTTAGCACCATATTGTAATATTTTTTAAGTTTCAAGCCTGAAATGCCTAGGCATGCTAGTGACTTTCTTTGTAATTAATATTTTGTAATATATAAACCACATATTATAAGCTTTGCAAGGACATAAACATTTTTATTTTCATATATAATAGCCTAATTTATTTACTCTATTAAACAATTTTTTGAAGTAAGTTAAACCCACAAAATTAAAACATGGTATAAAGTAGATATTTACCACTTTATCTGGACACTGTTATGTAAGTGGAAGGTCTCAGTCAGATGACCAAAAGCTGCAGCTGTGGGTCATTATATGACCCAGACCCACGTCATGCAACATTTGTCTTGTGTCCTGACAAACATTATACCTGTGGAAAATACGGTATATATTTTCCAGAAATACAGTAGTTATATGTAAATAGATGGCCATTCTGTATTTAATAATATTTGTCATAGAAAATGGGAAACTGGACCTGCGCCTGCGCAGACAGGAGAGTCGCCATTGTTAATTTGAATTGGATACAACGTTAGTGTAATGGGAAGGAATTTTCAAGCTTTAGAGGTTAAAATTGGGCTGACACTTCTCAAATAGGAGACGAAGTTGTTGGATGTGCATTCCTGCATAACTTGAGATATCAGGCGACTGGACAAGACAGCTCCAGGAACCTCAGATAAGTCTGTTATGTTATAACTCTGGCCAGTTGTTATTTTCATGTATAGACAGAGGGTTTCTGAGTATGATACACCTTGATTTCCAGTCAAATTAGTGAGTGTTATGATTAAGATATATTCTCCTTCTGTTATATAAATACGTATTTATATATAATCATTTTTTAATTTAAGATACAGTCCACAAATTTATATATTTACCAGCATTCCTGGTGATGTATATTTCATTTAATTAATAGGTCCAGAGCAACTTGTGGATATGACAGTGGTAGGTATCGAAGGGGGACATTTTTTGCGACCTAAGTGTCCCAAATTCCTACTTGTCTAACTGATAAATAATAATTATCTATGTTCATTTATTGTTATGTAAATAATGATACATTCAGATAAATGCAATTTTCCACAATACCTGTCAGAGTGTTACAACATCACATAATATACACACTCACATGCAGGTACGTGCACCGCCATGTTTATGGTGTGTCAACTTATATATATATATATTTTAGGGTTAAAACTGTAAGGCGCAGTAGTGCTTGTTCAGTAGATAGACTTTAAAAAAAATAAATCGACCATAATTATTCGATTTTCAAATTGGTAACTTGTAACTTAAAAAGCTTATGTACTACAAATTTACAAGATTTATTCTTCCAGGGGAAGGGAAGCGTTCTTGATCCAGGGAACTGAATCAGACATGATTGCCTCTGATCATCCAAGTGTTGTATGACCCCACCGTGTTTACCGCTCCCCCAATAATTTTTCTCAGTTATTAAATACTTTTTTTTTGTATTTCAGGTGTTCAGGATCAAACCTCCGATGTGCATCAACCGTGACGATGTAGACTTTACCGTGACTGTGCTGCGTCAGGCACTACAACCCACTAACTTATTATAATTCAAAAAATACAGATAATATCTCTGGCTCAACGACCTAAATTGTTTACAGGTATCCACCGATAATATTAAAATTTATGTTAAGAAATCTGATGGTGTTGCTGTTAAGGTGACGATATTTTCCTTACATTGCATAGTTTTGAATTAATAATTGTTTATTTAATGGCCTTCACATCTCATGCTTAAAATTAAATTGTAATATTTGTGATGATCTATAATCTAGTATACTTGACCCCTCCACTAGCTATCAGGCTATGTTGGACTGCGCTGCTATCACCAACAGAGTGATTGATCAAGCCATCAACTAGAAGGGATGGTCCTGGGACCGGATCATTGCGGTCTCAGTGCACCACAGATATAATGAATTAACTACAAGTACACCACATATATATTGAACGTCACCTTCAGGCAAGAAGCATACTAATAAAATATACAAATTTTTAATCCCCATGCTATTCTATATTGCATTAAATATTTATAGTTTACTCTATTTTTTCGTGTCATTACCCTGCAAGGAGAATATTCCTGGCTCTGTGGGTGGCTGGGGCCATCTGATTTAATTTCGAATTTCACGTTCCCTTGCTTTTTTAAGGAGGAAACTTTGATTCCTTTCTGTTTTCAGTCCATACTTGTGCAATATATTTTCCCGGACTTCCAGAAAGAAGTTGTCAATAAACCGTAACTTAACAAACCATAATACGGGGTGGGGTTTGAACCGCGGTCAGAAAGTCTCAAAACTCCAGACCGTGGTATGGTTTGTTTGCAATCGTGTCATTACGTTTTTAAGTATGTTGACGGCTTTGAGGGGGGCCCGAGCTAGAGTTCGCCACTGCCACACTAGTGGGAGATTCGTCTGTAAAAACTTGCATTTGTGGTCACAGTGGTGCTTTTGTTAACCTTCCTATGGTGTATAAATATACCATTTGATGAATCTTATTGAAAGCTAGCTGGTCCAGTGGCTAACAGGACGGTCTGGAGTTTTGAGACTCTCTGACCGCGAGTTCAAACCCCATCCGTGATAGGGTTTGTTTGCCCAAACGTGTCATAACGATTTCGTGATCAAAGCATAACTTTCTGTGGCCCAGAAGAACCCCAACAAGTGAAATAGACATCAGTGAACCAATATCTCCTGCGCTAGCCTTCCCTGGTATGGACATCTTACTCTCACATCAGTGGCAAATAGTTTTCCCTGGGATGCTTGTCCTCATTTTACTTTGCTCGCTGGGCACGTTTTCAAAGGGGGGAATCTTCCATCGGATTATTTCTTTTTTCTTTCTTTCTTTGGTTTATCAGGGCCACTGACACCATAAGCCGTATCGAGGGCCCCACTTCTCGATGGTAAGAGGAAAAATTGTTGCCTAAGGCTGGGGGATGAAAGAAAAGGAGCAAAAGTTCATTTGTAAACAGAAATAGAAACTTGATGTTTCCAATTAGATCCGGTGGACGCCCTTGCCAAGCCCCAGCAGAGAGGGACGCCCACACTCCAAACCTGAGGGTTTAGTAAACCCGGCTTCCCACCAAAGGGCGATAAAGAATTATCCGCAGAGCGGAAAAAAAAAAAAGGAGTTGGCTAAAAATAAGCCGAAAGAACAGGTGCCCCTCCTGTAGAGTGCCCAGCGGGCAAAATAGATGAGGACAAGTGTCCCAGAGAGAACGAGTGAAAATTTGTCACTGATACTCAGGCGAGAGAGAGGCGTCCACACCCAACGAAGGCTGGCGCAGAAGTCCATCGAATTAATTTCAGCAAACATCACTTTTCCAGTCTGCGAAATTCTATAACGCTTTTGGTGGAAGCCGGTTACTGAACTCGGGTAAGAATTCAAATTCAAATTCAAAGTTTATTCTTGTGAGGGAAAAGTTCAATAGATAGGAGTAGTGAGGGAGTATATAGTAACAATAGTTTCATTGCTGGCTACTTGTTAAGGTAGGGTAAGTCCCACTCCCGCTATTCCCCCCCCCCTTTTTCCCCCTCCCCGAAAGTGATAGTTTGATTGCCAGCTGCTTGTTAAGGTAGGGTCAGTCTAGCTCCTGCTATCCCTTCCCCTCCCTCTTACCCCCCCCTTAAGAAATATTAACGAAGAAATTCGGTTAACTGCCTTAATAACTTTGACTTAGTTTTTCCACACGAACTTGATAAAACAACTGAAGAATGTAAGGTGTGCGTAATTGACACCTCTAACTTAGACTATGATGAAGAACTACACGACTTGGTGAACTCTTGACCACTCGGCTCAACCAACATTAATATTAATGAATCTTTGGATGACCGTAAGAGACATGAACTACTTCAATGTGTGAGTAACTTTTCAGACGTCTTTACTGATATTCCCGGTGTTACCCCCACGGTAGTCCATAAAATTGACTTAGTGACGGAAAAATCCTATCAAACGAAATTATACCAGTTCCAGATCACCTTAGGGATGCATTTGACCGGAGAGGTAGACAAATTTTTAAACTAAAGATCATTGAACCTTCAGTATCTGCATATTGCTCACCAGTTGTCATGGTTAAGAAGGAGGATAATTCATATAGACTTGCTATTGACTTCAGAGGCCTTAATGCTATAAAATCGGTGGGATGCTGAGCCTATGCCCTTAATAGATAGCGATCTACACCCAAAATTTTATGACTTCCTTCTTTTCAGAGATTGATATTGCGCAGGCATATCATCAAGTAATTTAGATCCTTCTTCTAAGCAGTACACCGCTTTTCCTACCCACCAAGGACTGATGCAATATAGAACTATGCCTTCAGTTTGGTAACTGCCGTGTACCTATGTGAGACTGATGAGAAAGGTCTTGGGTAATATGCCAAATGTTTCAGTTTATTTTGATAACATTTACGTAATGACATCCACGTGGGGCAAGCATATCAAACATAACATCAGTTTTGCATAGGTTCGCTCACATGGCCTCACTGCCAAGCCGAAGAAATGCTTCCTTGGGTATAACAAGAAATTTGGGTATCTTGGACTGATACTTTCTAATAACTCTCTGCAGCCTCTCCCCAGTAAGATCGAAGCTTTATTAGAATTTTAAATTCCCAAAAAAACCAAGAAGCTCATGCGTAGCTTTCTTGGTTCTGTAAATTTTTATGCACGGTTTATCCCGAACCTTACTGATCTTACAGGCATCTTATCTGACTTCCTTAAAAAGTCTGTGAAGGAACCTCTTGAACTTTCCCACGTAGCTCGGGGAAAAGTTTAATGAGATTAAAAATATCTTCTCAAAAGCCCCTATACTTAAGATTCCAGATAGTAATAAAACATTTTGTTTGAGAACTGATGCCTCCAATACTGGCTTAGGTGCAGTGCTACTACAATACCCTGATGGTACTCCCTTCCTGTATGCTTCCTAAGCCAGAAACTCCCTTTCCCGCAGAACGAGATACTCCACCATAGAAAAGGAATGTTTGGCCCTTGTGTGGGGTATCTCCAAACTTAAATTTTATTTTTCTGGGAAAAGAATTCATTTTAGAAAAGGACCACAAACCTTTGATATACCTAGAAATTTTAAGGGAACCAACAGTCACTCTTGAGGTGGACATTGGCACTCCAGGCTTTTAAGTTCCATATTGTGTATATTCAGTGGTTCATCCAATTATTTCTCTGAGTGGTTAAGTCGTGACAGTCCAGTAGAAGATTGTTGCCTTACGCGACTTCCACATGTTTGAACTTTTTCCTTGCCTATTCTTCTTATAACTCCTTGACTATAAGTCTTGGTTATGGGGGAGTGTGCAGGAAAAGTTCAATAGATAGGAGTAGTGAGGGAGTATATAATAACAATAGTTTCATTGCTGGCTACTTGTAAGGTAGGGTAAGTCCCGCTCCCACTATTCCCCCCCCCCCCCTTTTTCCCCCTCTCCGAAAGTGATAGTTTGATTGTCGGCTGCTTGTTAAGGTAGGATCAGTCTAGCTCCCGCTATCCTTCCCTCCCTCTTCCCCCCCGAAAGGTGACGTGGGGGGGGGCTCCAGTCAAACAGCAAATCACTCGACTCGCAGCTCCCAACACTACTGTAAGTACACGCCTGATCATATTTTAGTGGACTTATTGGTTGAAAGCTTCACTTTTGACCAATAATTAACTTAGTCCCTTTTAGTCTTGATAGGTTAAAATGTTTTAATAATCACCACATCTTTTAGGTATTGTACTTATCATGGAGAGTGATTTCTTAAGCAGTGAGTAAAACTGTCTCTCTTTACAGCTTGAAAGGACAGGGAGGGTCACCTGCTAATCAATGAGTAGAATTGAAGGAGATGGACTAAAGTTCTGAACGTCCAAAATTTTTTATCCACTTACATGTTTGTGTATGCAAGTAGCAGGATATAACCTCTCATCATTGCAGTGGAAAAAAAAACTGCTTCCTGTCATCTGGACGAATATTGCGGCTAGAAAATCTGTTTGAAGAACGAGCCGGTGGGTTTTCATCAACACCTTTCGACCCCCCCCCCCCCCATCATCAGCAACGGCTACGATTTCAACAACACGCAGTGTCACCAACCCAGACACCCAAAGTTTTATATATATATATTAGCGTTGAATTCAGATATCATTTATATTTTTCATTTTTCATTTTCTTTAATGTAGGATTAATATTTCATATTTAAGTGTTTTATATTTTATATTTTCTATATAATAAAGTGCTTATATTTGTCTGTTATTATTTCTTTTTCTATTCATTAATTTTCCTGAGGAGGAGCCAGCCTTGGTAATACTGTCTGAAGTTGTTACAGGGCTGAGTAAGCCTTCACAATTCTCTGTAAGAAGTATTGGGTCTCGTTCTGCTAGGGCTTGGCGAGGGAGGGTGTGCACCTGGTGGCTAAAGCTCCCGCTTCACACACGGAGGGCCCGGGTTCGATTCCCGGCGGGTGGAAACATTTCGACACGTTTCCTTACACCTGTTGTCCTGTTCACCTAGCAGCAAATAGGTACCTGGGTGTTAGTC